GGCTGCAGGAAGGCTTACACTAACACTTTGCCTCCCCATGGGTGCCAGAAAGGAGAGCAAAAAAGTGCAGACATGTCACAGCTATAGGAACGGATCAATGTCCACAAACGCTGTTAGCAAACAAACACAGCCACAGACACACAAACTTGTATTATGAGAGTTCAATCATAGAAGATGCAATGTGTTTTTATCTGTCTCACACTCAACTTTCTTTTTCCTTTACTCTCTCTTTTGCTGACAGCCCTTCTCTTTTCTTAACTATCCATCAATTACAAATAAAGCATTACCTTAGTAACCAGGCAGCCTGGCAGCAGTATTAGTTTCTTTGCAATGATAGGCTCAGCACTGAAGCATCTCATTGTCATTCTCATCGCCAGCACTTTAACTTTGATCACTGGTTTGTGTCTCTGAATAAAATTCACTAAACTATGGCAGAGAGCCAAAACCAGCTGTGAAAACCAGGGACCAACTTAAGCAACACATATGGACATTCACAGGTAAATGCACATTTAAGCACACATGCACATCAAGAACACTGTTAGCTAAATTCGGAGCAAGCTGTGCAAGCTGTCACACAATAATTTATATTTATGGTAATAAAAGCACCACTAAAATCCACTGTGTCCGGCTTGCAGATCTTCCTCTATTACTTCACCGGTATAGGTCTGTTGCTGTGTCCAAGACCTCATCTGTATTCACAACTGCAGCTAATCAGTTATTAGGTATCTTTCTCAACTTCACCCAGATAAGTGGACATGCAGTTTAGCCTGGAGGTAAGCTAGAAACATGGTTTGCACTATTCTGACTTCTGTACTAAAAATGCTAAGCATCTTTGTGAATAACAGCATTTTAAGCTGCATTACAGGCAGTTAGATGGAGAGTTAGATGAGAAGATCAATACCATTCTCATATCACTATACTAAATATGAAGCTACAGCTTGCAAAGCTTAGCACAAAGACAAGAAGTGGAGGGAAACTGCTTGTTCACACCATGTGGTTGCCAGATACATTATGGAGACTCCAGAAAAACACTGCACCTAGCCAATAAATAGCCCTGCTCAGAACTCACACAACTATATTGTCTTCATTAGTTTCTGTGCTGGTACAGACCTTTGGTGGAAAGTAACTAAATACAATTACTCAAGTACTGTACTTAAGTACAATTTGAGGTATCTGTACTTGAGTAGTTTGATTTTCTGTTACTTCATTCTTTGACTTCACTACATTTTAGAGGCAAATATTGTGCTTTTTACTTCACTTCATTTATTTTATAACTTTAGTTACTAGTTACTTTTCAGAACCAGATTAATACAAAAATACAGTATAATTAAAAGATCTCATTGATCTGTGGTGGAAAGTTCACAAGCTACACAGCGGTCATTCAAATTAAATGCATGTAGGTCAGTTAAAACCAGTTCCCCCTTTACTAGCTGCAACATTAAATGTGATGTGCACAATAATGCATCAGTAATTATAATACAATAATATGATGTACAGGAATGTGAAATGTGCCATTCTGCATAATGAGTACTTTTACTTTTAGTACTTTAAGTATGTTTTGATGCTAATATTTTTGTACTTTTACTAAAGTAACATTTGGAATGCAGGACTTGTATCTGAGTATTTGTACATTACTGTATTGCTAATTTTACTTAAGTAAAGGCTCTGAGTAGTTCTTCCACCACTAGTACAGACAGAGCCATTTTCCCGTTCCCAGTCTTTATGCTGAGCTAACTGTCTCCTGGTTGTGTTTGTAGAATAGACAGATGTGAGAATCAGTATCAGTCATCTCCTCTAACTCTTGGCAAAAAAGAAAAGAAAAACATTTAAGTAAGAGTATTTCCCAAAATGTCAAATTATTCATTTGCCATAAGTAATATTAATGTCCCATACCCCCTGAGGGGATTTTATAGCATTATTGATCATTACTTTTCCAGGTGCTGAAATGTTGCAGCTTGTAAATGCTCATATACCATCCATGTTGTTACTTTATATTTCAGATCAACCCCACACCTTATGTATTCATCTAGGTCGAAATCCCAGCAGGTCAGCCCAACATACAGCAGCAGTGAAACCAGAACACACAGATTTACTATCAACATGCCAGGCATGACCTGAACGAGGCATGCTGTATACCTCGGTGAGTAAATAATACATTTGGCTCTAGGGTTAGAGCAGGCTTCAGCCAACCATTTCTCGACATGCATCTACAATGTATGGAAGATGCACACAGAAGGATGTCAGAGACAACCTGACATTCATGTAACACATAGCTGAATTCCAGCAGGTGTGCTGAGAGTGAGTTGAGAATGGTTTTCTATGTTCAAGCAAATGAGGGAGAAAATCCTCAGTGCAGTCTGCAGTGTCTGATCTACAGTATATGTCAGAGAGGTGTTCAATATTAGAGTGGAATGGAATATGTGCGAAGTATGTTTGAACCCACAGGCCAGGAGCAAGGTCCTCCACATGAGCTCACAGGAACTCCTACCCACAGACAGATATGTGGCACAGATGAAATGCCTGTCATTAACACTGCATCACAGGAGATCGAAACAGACAGACAGTAAGACAGAAAGTGTGAGAGACAGAGAGGGAATGAAAAAAAGTGTATGAAAAAAAAACTCAGAGGTGGGACAGTGAGTTGTCTGCAGAGGTGGAGGCAAGAGGAGTGATGCAAGTGTGTGAAGAGGAGTTGGAGTGAAAAGCAGTGGCAGAACAGCATTACAGTATTAAAAGAAAAAAACAAAAAAGGGTAAGAAAGTAAGTGTTCGACCTCCAGAGACATATTCAGAAGCATAGAATTGCTGTGGACATCAACTCAAGGTTGGACATTCTTGTAATGAAGGACATATTAGATGTATTCACTTTTAATTTTGTTTAACATATTTTGTTTGTATGTATGCAGACTACTTTTCTTTGATGAAAATGTGAGAATGCAGAGCTGAAGAAACGTGAAAGAGATGTTGAGATGGACTAATATTAACAACATTACACCGGCGGCGGCAGTGCACACTGGCTAGTGCTGATCTGTTGGGGAGGAAATATACAGACCTTGTATTTAAATAAAAGCTGCAAAACAGCAGGATAAAAATTGTTTAAATACATTTAAAATGTACAAAAATACATCAGCTTTATTAGCAATGTGTACCAAAAGTACTCAATGTAACATAACAGTGTTTGTGAGCACTTATATTATTACATATAGAATCATAATGTCATATTTTAGAAGCTCATCATGTGCTTTATGCCCTGCAGAGACTGGATGAGTGGGAGGTATAATACAGAACAGTACGTTATTTGTATTTCCAATAAAAATAGTGGTGCAAAAAAAAAAGTTGAAGTGTTGGGGGAGGAGGCATTAGTTGTCATCTTGGTTCTTAAGTAGCAGTAACTTCCAAATTAGGAAGATATTTGCTGCTGTGCTAATGAACAACAAACTCTTTCAAGCAGAACAAACAACAACCTGAAAACAAAGCTCGCCTGCACTCACACACTCACACACTCACACACACACACACACAGATTCTCACCAGCCCATCTGTTTGCTGAGAGAATCTTGCTTTCCACTAGCACTGCTTAAAAAGAGAGTGGAGGAAAAAGTGCATCCCACAAACACACTAGTGAGTATGCAGACATGACATCATATTTTTCTGTGCTGAGTCTGTCCACTGAGTGTGGGCAGGCTTGCGCAGGTAGCTGTGCATTTCGGTGTGATTACAACACGCCGAGAAGCCAGCACAGGCTGAGCAGACAGTGCTTGTGTATTCTTGGGCCAAGGTGTCCCTGCCTGTCACTTAGTCCAAAGGCATCATTTTCATCACCCCCCCCCCCCCAAAACCCCACCCACCCCCAACA